AACGGAATAGTTAGTCTCACTAATAGAGTCAATTGTCCTCAGGAGAAAGAGTGACGGAAATCTAATAAGCACGGCGGCATGTAACTCTCGCATTCTGAAATATAATCTCATTAACAGCGCATCCCTAGAAATAGTAAACCAGATGCCAAATTAAACATAACATGTCCATGTTAACTAGAGTTTGACATAATGTTATATACGACCAAACTGACAACAGTATATGTCTTCATTACAACCCCAGTCTGATGGCAAATAACATTGATGAATGAGGAGATCCAACAAGGCAGTAAATCTGTCGGTAGGGGGCTCTGATTTCACCTCGTTCTGGGTATCGAGCACGTGCCAACAAAATCAGTGTGACAGTCGTCAGCGCTTTAATCAAGACAGACACTCGGCGGTAAATGAACGAATACAAGTCGCGTTAGCAGCAAAAGAGATTCACCAAAGACCGGTGCTATTGCTTGTAAAGTGGCTTCAAAATTGGACTGGATATCCTTCGAATCAATCTTGATTGTAATGGAGGGTTTGACCTTCCTTCTGCCACCTCCAGGCATTGACCAGGTTCATTGTCTTAGGAAGCCGAGTTCTGTCGTGAGAAGCAGTGGTTCAGGAACGTGAGTCACGATAATTATATAACTTTGTGAACCCAGGGGGTATGCTTGCGTATTAGTATTTCCTATTTGTCGCCGTAAACATGCACCTAATCCAGCAATTCGCTAATTTCTATGGCCTTACGAGTTATCTTTGTCTTCATATGTTGTCTATTTCATTATTCCGTGTCCTGAATGTTAGCCAAGGGAGAAAGCTCTGAGCAAAATATGTATCATTTTACAATAACATCGATCGAGTCTTGGACATGCTCTCGATAGGATTTCCTGTTTCCCGTTATTTATTCTCCGTGTATATGAGTGCTTTACGGAAACAATACATAACCATCTAAGACACAGACACTAATCATGCTCACAATTCACTCTGACATAAAACAGCACTTTAGATAGCGGTAATCAGATCGATTGCTTTCGTCAAATATACGTAAGTCCACACAAAGCTTCCCCTGATACGTGTTGATGATCCCTAGACATTGGACGATGTCTGATACGATTGGCTGCACTGTAGAGGGAGGATCGTCTGACCCCGGCCACCAGACTAGAAGTAATAGGAAGAAATACCTTTTCAGTGTACGGACGTAAGAGAGTGATACAATTTCTGTCTGTTTCAGGTGATGTTCATGTATTGTCTGAATGACATCCAGATGCTAATCTCAGCTTCAGCGATGATGGTCTGGTTCCGGTTCATTCAATGCCGAGGAATCTTAGAGAAAGAAGTATCCAAAATTGCATACACGTCCCTTGGAAGTCATACATCGTAAAACCTGGCAGCAATTCCAACCATGGTGCTTGTTGATCCCGAATGTGTGAATCCCAACTGGGTTCCATCTACGAAATATGGATAGATTAGCCTGGCACTCAAGTAAATCCAGTAAGTAGGATGTACTATAGAATTTCAGCTTCATCAACGGCCTTGTCACAAAACAGCGCTGACGTGATTAACCGCCCGGAGCTCGCGGTGAGCCACCTTGGCCGCCAGGATGATAGTGTCACCCACACGCTCCACTTAAAGCCATGCATGAGTTCCGGCAGATGACGCAATTTGGGTTGGCTTGGCTGCCAGCACAAAGCGGCCTGATGCCTTGTCTGAGACAGCGACGTTGCTAATGGAACAGTGATGTCATCGTCAACGAACGCTTTCACCCCCGCCCCTATCTTCTCTGTCTCTCACGGACACGACGGGGTAAGGCAGTTCACAGAAGGCTAATCGACTTCAGGAGAACCGTCTATCTGTGTCAAGTAGGTTAGTACCTGAAGCCACGTTCTCCGTACACACAATAACTTGGTGAATTCTATATGCATGAGGAAAGGGAAGTCGGTCGTAACCATATTTGACGTATTAAGCGCCCGGGGTATGTGAACATTCTCAAGGGTTGGGGCTGTTCAAGGATCACTCATTCCAAATCCACAACGGCTTAACTAGGGTTAGGCTACGATATTGATACAATGAAAAAGGTGGGAAGGAAATGTGTCCGTATGATTTGAAGAAATGCACATGGGTGAGTGAGTGAGTGAGTTTTACGCCACCTCTGGCAATGCTTCAGCACCACATCTGACACCAGAAATGGGCTTCACACATTGTACTGGGGTATGATGAACGACCATTGTAACCACTAACTAGCCCGCCACCTCGAAGATACTTGAAAAAATGATCTAAAAACCCGGGGACTCTTATTGCTCCCAGACGCTTAATACGCCCCATACGTCAGTATACGGATCTAAGTAAGGCTCCAGGTCTATAATAGTTAAAAAGTTCGATTAATGTGTGAGTCCTTTAGAAGCAAGTCCAGAAGAATATAACAAGGTCCATTTACATCTTCTGCGGTATCTGTTTCTACTTTGTAAATTAATGATGATTGTAATCCTGGCATTTTGAGCGATGCTAGGATGAAGATCGGCCTGGGTCATCAGTCTGGGTCAGCATATGTTTAATATCTATATTCGTCATCTGACACTCAGATTGACTGGCATCGTAATAACCCTATCATATTATCCGCCAGCAAAAGTTGATATTCAACTTGTACCGTTATACAGAAACAGTAAATTGGGCTGGTACTTATATAGACAGTCTATGACGGTGGTGGAAACGTGTTTGTTAATTTATGACCACGTGGCACGCAGCCAAAGCCTCAGTTGTGAGGTATTGAGCATCTATAATCAGCACATCAAAGCTTCACCGTCGTAACTACCCCAGACTTGATTACAGAGATAGTGAAGCAGCCTGATCTATATTTACTAAACGTACCTGTTTGTTGAAGGTGAACTTCAGACCCTAACAATCTCTCTATTTATAAAGATGATCATTACAATACACCAACTGGCAGATGAGTCCAGCTAAGTATAACACAAAGCCCACTGGAAAGGAATTGGTGAAACGATGTGATTAACGTTGATTCACAAAACTAACGTTCTCTAAAGGTAACTACAGACCTTACAAACTCGATACACAAAGGAGATTATCCCTGGGTACTAAACTGACAGAAGGGTCTTATTAATTCCATAACATTACCGTTTACAAGAAGACTCCCAGAACACGATCGTAGCGCTCCACCTGGCCATAGGCCAGTCGCTGTCGTTAGGCTAAGAAGGCTTTGTGAACCGGGGCCCTTCATGATTAGACGAGGGACGGACTAAGGAAGACCATTGGCAGTAAATTGTAGGGGCTTCGTTGAACTCGTATAAGTTATTATACCCGGCCGCGCGTTTAGCGCGAAGCGGGGGATATAGTATTAGGCTCCGTCCGTCCGTCCGTCCGTACGTACGAATTGGAAATATCTTAAGAACCGTTGACTAGATTCTTTTCATATTTGGTACCTAGCTTCAGCACAGTATAACAAAGGTACAAGTCAGGTTTGGTGACCTTGACCTTCATTTCAAGGTCACAAGGGGACTTTAACGTTTTACCTGCATGTTAAGCTATCTAAAGAACCGTTTACTGGATTTTCTTTTAATATTCAATACCAAGCTTGATCTAGGGAAGGCGCGGGGCCCAGTCAATTTTGGTGACCTTCAGTTAATTTTCAAGGTCACAGAGACACTTTGAAGATTTCAGCATATTAACCTGCATGTTATGCTTGTCAGCGAGATACCTCAAGAAGCATTCACTGGGGTTTCTTCATATTTGACACCAAGCTTCATCTAGGGAAGGCGCAGAGCCCAGTCGATTTTGGTCACCTTCACTTTAATTTCAAGGTCACAGATACACTTTGAAGATTTCAGCATGTTAAATTGTATGTTAAGACAGTCAGCAAGATATCGCAAAAAATATTCACTGGATTTTCTTCATATTTAACACCAAGCTTCATCTAGGAAAGGCCCAGGGCTCAGTCAGTTTTGGTGACCTTCACATAATTTTCAGGGTCACGACGACACTTTGAAGATTTCAGCATGTTAACTTGAATTGTCAGCAAGATATTTCAAGAATGGTTCACTGGATTTTCTTCATAGACTTTCAAGACTTCCCTTGAATATTTTTCAATATGCAATTTCTTTAGTACTATTTTTGCATATTTCATACATTATGACATTCATATCATGTCAAGGTTGAACAACTAAAGAGCGAGATATCAAGAGAGATTGACTGGTCATGTTTTTGTTGACATTTACCTTCATCTTAAACTTTCATTACTTTATAAGTTTGATTTGATAATTTGCGGCGGGTGATTATGTCACCTTAGTGACAATGCTTGTTTCTATTATTTTTCAGTTGAACTGGTCGCAGACAAAAACATGTTCTTAAATGCCTTCGTTTATTAATAGGAATGAATTTTAAAGCCAAGTTGGTCAGTCATCGTGAAGTTTATATACGGCCGATTGTCGTGTTTTAATATTTAACAATGCGAAGTACAGCCGTATTTCTGCCTCGCCTTTACATTAATCATTTACAGGAAAAGTAATAATTATAATGAAATAATGATAATAATAATAATTATATAATGATGATGAGTGAGTTAACTGTTTGGGTCACACTGGCAGTATTTCAGATATATATATATCTCACACTAACAACTAGTCTCTGAAGTTAACATATTTTACAGAAAGAACAGTTCTTAATATAAAAAATGATACATAATGAATAGGAGCCCTGAGACTTTCTTCATTTTCAGAAGCTGTGGAAATCTAGACTTGCCACATAAATCTAGACTTGCATGGGCTCTCTTGAAAAAGTTTATATACCGGTATATGTGATGATGATGGTGATGATGATGGTGATGATTATGATGATATGTACATGCACATTGCGCTGAATTCCATTCACCAAGTGATTGCGCATGGCACTACAGTAATATTTTAATTTTGTTAGCAATAATTTACTCATGTTTTTCTGAAAGGAGGGGAGGTTGTCTCACGCGAGTCAGTAAAACCATCAGGATTCTGTTTGCTGCTTCTCACCTGACTGATGAAGGCCAGGCCTTCAGTCTTCCACCAGCTGGTGGCGGGCTGACGCCGGATCCACGGAACGATGTAGCGGTAGGCACAGTGCTCCAGACACACCAGCAGCACCGACAGCACCAGGGTGGACGACAGGATGATGAACAACCCCCCGGTGTGCTCCAGCCCATACTTCACCCCGCTGTTAGCAAGCAGACCCTCACAGTTAGGCCGGCTCAGGTACTTCCGGGACAGGTCTTGGATATAGCCCGATTCCGAATAGGACAGTATCCGATTGGAGAGCGGGACCTGTGGAGATGGATAGAAGGTTAGCTTGACCAGACGTGGACAACAAATAATTAGAAGCAGTGTGTGAAAGTGCCCCTGGTTCATTCTGCATCCTCTGCAGCCCTGTTGTTGTACTGGGACTCAGGGTTCATACATTCCACATGTTACTAAACTGAGGATTAAATGGACACAATGTATGTCGTGTATGGATAGTATTTCTAATGTTCAATGTCTCAAAGGCCACCAGGGTCTAACAAGGTCATTTTATAATGAGTCGGAAAAAGACGTGAAACAGTTGGCACTGGGAACAGTGGAATTGCCGTTGGACCTGTGCTTTGAAATGCTTACCATACAACCTACTGCCTGATCGTCAATACTATTGATTTAATCATTACTTTTTTTGCATTTTGTTCAAGGAACTCTCAGTGATATTTGACGGTGGTCCGTAAATGATCGAATCTGGAACAGGCAACCCAGTGACTGACATCATGAGCATCGATCTACACAGCTGTGGTGCATGAATCAACCAAGCCAGCGTGCTTGACCAAAGATTCATTTGGGCGCCTCTTACGAAAATCATGGCTTGCTGACATGTGAAACCCATTTCTGGTGTCCCTCGCCGAGATATTTCTGGGATATTGCTAAAAGCGTCGTAAAACCCTACTTACTCACTCACTTACTCACTCACTCACTCACACACCCACTCACCCTCACACACACACACACACTCATTCATTCATTCACTCACTCACCCCCCACCCACCCACACACTCACTGGCAACATATTCTAGCCCGTCTTCACTGGTATCGTTACATGGCATGACTTCATATTTAAATGTCCTCAGTGGCCATCCATGTCTCCAAACCTTATAGGTTTTGCTTTTGCCTGTACACATTACTGCAGTAGAGACCGGAGCACCGACATTGCAACTAATGTATTCCCGATCCATCCATGTCGAGCAAGACGTTAAATTGTCTTGAATAATATCAGAAGAAACATACACTCACAACCCTGGTTGAACGACGGTCTTTTTTTCATATGCACTGGGACGTGTAATCGCAATTAAATTAGGTCATGGTTCAACCTAATAAAAAGAAAGCAATTACAACCAGCGAATCAAAACTAAATTAAAATCGATTTCTACCGTCTCGAACCAATGTGGTATAATCTATCAATGCAATGTCCCGTCACGCTATCGTGCGTTCATACAGTTCATATAGTCAAGTCTCCATAATCGTTGATCAACTCTGATCTAATCTGATTTCTTAGCTTTATCCTCTTTTGTGAATTGACTAAACAAGATATTTCCAAGAAAACAGTCCCTTGTGGGGAGCCATATGTCTCCAACGCTTGTGGAAGGGGGTGGGGGGTTCGGGGGCCGGTATAGGAAGGGAGGGTTACTGGGGAATTTCAGCTGTTCCAGGTTCCACCACCTCAAATCAGAATCACGTGCTCCCTGAGCGAGAGCCGTATGTATACATCTGAAGATATGGAGACATGTGACAGCTGTGATTGGATGAAATAGTTTAAGATTTTTATGTTTTTTAAAGCACATCCATCCAGTAATTAAAATGGACCACAATTTTAAGTATTTGGTGCTGTCATTTTTATCACCATGACTTATGCTTATTGTGTGTACAAATATTTTCCAGTAGGTGACATTTGGTGCGGAACTGGGGTTGATGTGTTCAGCTTCCTGTGCAGGATAAGTTAGCCGGAATTTGTGTATTTATTGTAGTTTAAAGGCCAGACTGTACCCATGTATACATGGAATAGCTGTTGACAGCCTGGATGATTTAAAAAAATAATATAACGTTACTATAGAAGTCTTTGGGAAAACATTTTGCGTTGTGTAACTTCCAAATTGACCCTGATGTTTACACCGTATGGGGTACGGGTGTTTTTCCTCTGCTGCAGTCTCATTTTGTTACAACCGGAGTACATGAGTACAAATTAAGTAATACATTTCATAGTAATGTATAGCTACATGACAATGCATTGAATTAGTTGTTAAGAATCTTTCGGTACATCTGAAGGCATTACAGTTTAGTAATTTAAGAACGATGGATGATATTCCGCAAGGTTAGGTCATGGTAGTGAACTTTTAAAAGTGGGTCACGTTCGGATATATCTAATATTTACATTCATTAGTGAATCTCATCCTTATTGAGGTCATATGAGCGTGTATGATCTATTGTGGGGCCTTCAGTAATCGTCCTGTTTCTATGGCGACTCCGTGCTCACAGGTTTTCATAAACGTTGAAACCTTCTTAATCCGGTTCTTAGTGAAAGCATACAGATAAGTAAAACCTGAATAATTATCTGGGTGGTGATATAAGCGAGAAAACCCTGTCTGCAATCATAAACAATCTAAAACAAAAGTCCCTTGTATCAATCAGACTGTATCATAAGCATACTATGGTTATGAGCCCTTATGAAATCCATTGATGATGGGGAGGTGGGGGTAGCCTAGTGGATAAAGCGTTCGCTCATCACGCCGTAGACCCGGGTTCGTTTCCCGACATGGTTACATTGTGTGAAGCCCATTTCTGGTGTCCCCCCGCCGGGATATTGCTGGAATATTGCTAAAAGCGGCGTAAATCCCAACTCACTCACTCCAGTGATGATACCAGGTGTTCGTGAAAATATCCCACCCCATCCCATCATAAAGACACGCAAAGGCTAGTGAAGTTTTCGCCTGAAATAACAGCTGATGTAATGTCTCCTTCAGAATGTTAATTGAGGTTTCATCGGGGTGGGATGCGTTTTGGGAGGTGTGAATCAGGACTTACGAGGTTTCACTGCATGTAGGTTATTGGAGACAATGGCTTCTACACATTATACGTACCCAACGAGGCTTCCAGATCCGAACTGGCCCTCAGTACCCTAAGCAGCGATCAAATGGATTGGGTGGTCAGGCAAGGTGATTCCGTTGATAACGCATAATTGTACCCCGAAGGGTGCATCGTTGCTGACAATATCAGCCACTGGATTGTCCTTACTATACCCGATTTTAATACCGCCATTTTACTGCTGAATGTGGCGTTAATGAAAAGGTGAGGTAAAATTGGGTTTGACGTCGTGCTTGAGAATATTCCGCTCATATGACGACGTGCATGCGTGTATGTGTATGTGCGGCTGCTTGTACTAGCCCAGACTGAAGCTGGTTTTATAGTGCTAGCCCACTGAGATACCATACCGCAGTGAAGCATGAATACCCCACTCAGACACAGTACACTGACTCCGAGCCGACCAGTCCTTGATGTACCCATAAATGCCGAGAGCGCCAGACAGGGACCAACACGTACCATATTTTAACGTCTTTTGGTATGACGCGGTCGGGGATCGAACCCGCGACCTTCCGCTCTCCAGGCGGACGCTCTTACCACTACACCACGGAGGCGGTCTCGTTAAAGAAAAAGCATGGGAATAAGAATGTGCGTAGCCTGACCTGCATCCAGGAGAATCGAGGAAGACCAAAGGCATATCCATCAGCGCCGAATCCTTTCCCGGCAAAGCGAACAGAGCAGTGTTGGTCAAGACGTGTGACGGCGTACTCCAGGATGGGGCTGTCGTCAAGGTAGACGTCGATTTCCTTCTTCCTATAGAAACAAAGAAACAAATCTTTCAATTACCCCTCACTTTATATAAAACAACATTGCTGTATGCGACAAAGCAGCAACGAATGGTAAATGGATCATAACGAAGGTTTTCAACGTACTGTTTATTGGGATATTTCTGATTGAGACTATTGCAAAAAGACGTGATGATAACAAACATTGTCTCCACAGCCCAGTAAAGTCGAGATATGACAGTACAACAAGTCACTTTGGAACAAATGCACTTGAAAAGAGTAACGTGTGGACGCCCAGATGCCAGGATCTTGCAATATATCGGAAATCGGGATTGTGTCATATATCGGGATCCAGTATCGTCTAAATTATCGAAATAGTCCATCATGCTATATATCGGAAATCGGGATCGTGTAATATTCTGGGACCCAATATCGTCTAAATTATCGAAACCCACCATCTTGCAATATATCGGAAATCGGAATCGTGCAATATATCGGAACCCAGTAGCATGCAACATATCGGATCTAGTAATCGTGCAATGTATTGGAGTTCGGAACTGAAACTACTCCGACCTCGAAAGGGGCTCGATTCCCCTCATTGACACACTATGTGAAGCCCATAGCCGGTGTCACCAGCCATGATATTGCAAAAAATTGCTAAAACGGGCATAAAACAAAACTCACTAACATTGACCTTACATGCTGAATAAACATAATGGCGGTGCTACTATACACGTATGGAAATATTGGATAGTGCAACCTATAAAGTACGGTAGCTCAATATATTAAATTTAAACATACACGTATTAAAATGAATTATTTACAGATAGGAACCTGAATACTGGAGCAGTGTAATATCCAAAGGGCAACACAAGAACAGTTCAATAACATATTCTTGTCCCACTTTGAAGTGTAGTATAAATTATCCAATGTCCAACTAAAACGGCGTATAATTCAAATACTCCCAACAGAAATTGGTCTGCGCTTGCTTGAATCGATACCACAGATCCTGGCAATATGGCGTAATGCCTAGGACTTTTGGGTGTAAAATACTTCTTTGAGCACAGCGGGTGATAATTACTCATGATAGGTGCTATTACCTGGTAATTAAACACGTCAATGAGCTATCAGATTGAAGGAACAACTGCGAAATGTCCCCGTGGTAAATGGTTCTTGGCATGCGTCCCAATATCATCGACTCTCTCCCATTGTCAAGCTGGGCTTCGATCAATCAAGTCAGTGGAGTGATTTCTCTGATTAACCTTCTGTGTTTTGAAGCTCAACACTCGCTTTGGACGGAGGCAGTCGTGTAATCGGGGGAATGGTATTGAAAAGGGGAGAATTGAATTAGGTTGCCACCTTGTTTTTTCATTTTCTGTTGGTCAGTATGTGCTAGTTGATATCGCTTTGGCTAAAACGCGTGGACAAAATGGACAACTTTAAGATTACTGAAAATTCCAGGGTAGAAATTGCCAGGAGAGACACTTACACAATTGCTTTTTAAGGATTTCCAACTGAACAGGGGTGAAGGTTTCAGTCCAGTTTCAGCAATATCGCCCAGGTGGGTGACATGTGAAAATGGCTTCAAATTATGGGGTATCAAATCTGGGGGTCTTCAAATATCAAGCCAAAAGAAGGCCACACAAATGCAGTCTAAATAATCTTTGAGTTTATCTGGTACTGAATTACAGCATTATTAGAATGCAATGGTAAATCAATAAAGCAACATCTGGTGTGCAGTTACAAGGATTAACGCAGGTTTTGATCACTGAGTAGTAACTGTAATCTTTAATCCAACTGAATATATCAGTTGGGCTTGAAAACGTTTCTCTGTCTCCTTTACAAGTAATTAAGTGGTATCTCTGTTAAGATAACAGTATGTCCACAAGCTATTACCCAATCGGTTGACCGATCCCAGGTGTTATCTATATCGGTGAGAATGGTGACCAGGATTTGAGTCGCGATGCAGCCATAAACATCTGCATTTTGATCTGAACAGCTCATGGCCTACATATCCTGACAGCACCAGTCCCTGATTTCGCAGACATACAAGCTCATTGGAACTTTATTAGTACAGTTGGCTGAAGTAGTAGGTAATCATCCAAAGACGGTCTGATGAGGTGGCCAGCGTTGGCCAATGTGGACGTTGACACTGGTCACACAATGTCAATCAACTGATTGATCCCAGCGATCGACAAGTCCAACTCTGTATGTTCGGACTTTATTGAAACCCTTCGACGGTCGGCTGGAAGTGACCACTCCAAAGGCGCAATTGGATTGAAGGGCGTGAGAATGGTCAGTCAAAACAATTAAATGCTGCCCTCTGGTCCTGATAATAGCCATTGATGACTGAGCACGTCCCTACACTGAACTGGTTTATTGTGACACGACATTTCTTGGCTGAATCCCAATGTCGTTTACTTACTGGACAAATCGCAATTTGTAGCTTTATCACCCATTTGGTCAACCTTGAAGAAATCCAATCAACCTTAACGAATGAAAATTCGGAGGCGGGGGAAAGGCCACAGGGTATATATTTCACAGTACATGTGTGGCAAGGATGTGATACGTTTTGTTCGATGGAATTCAGTTGATTATCGATAATTCACCACTTGCTCTCATCCCACCATACTGTGAGAATTTGCCACTCGCTACTTCGGACTTCGATGATTCACACTTGAAGGCACATGGTGCCCCATCATATATAACTCTATACTAGTGTTTGCGGTACGTTGTGATGAACTGGTACGGGCTCTGATTAAATATATTAAACAACTAGGTCACAGTCGTGGCAAATCCGACTGTGTCTCGATGTGTAATCTGCGGCAGCCATGCATCTAAAGGCTTCACGGCTGGCTGATCTATTGCTTGAAAACGTTACACCAGGCTTTGTAGGAGCTCATTTAATTACCTTTACCGATCGACAGCTGGAGTGCCACCGACGTCTACATGTGAGTCCACTTAAATCTCAACAACACCACTCAAACGTTCACCGGTATCGAAACCTCCTAGATGTCAGTAACTTGCAATTTTTGGAAGTTCATCGATACTATAATTCCCCAAGCCAGGATTATCGATAGTTGTAATGTGAAGCTCTGCTTTATTCGCACTGGTAATTAGGTCAGCTAGACGTTCCCTGGGTGTTTCACATATACCGTGTACAGAAGCTCAATACAAGCTTGTCAGATCCACTAGCACACGCTTGTATGTGTAATGGGAATAATCGACCGTCCCTGCAAAACCTTATATGGTATTACCATCGTCTAATTATGAAACCAATAAGTCACCAAACCTTTCGTGAAGAACATTCATTAGTTCTTTAATAATCTTGTTAACTTTTTACATGATTTTCGGGACGAAAATCATTTGTTTTGCTTAATGATCGATTTGAAGTTTTTTTTCCTTAGTTTTTCCTTAGTTCTATTAGTATGCCAACATTTCTCATTTTCTCATTTTCATTCCTTCATTTATCCAACCGAAACTTCAAAGCCACAGTGTACGTTCCAACGAAAGTAATGTGAAATTTAAAACAAGGCGAAAAAACGATGAGTGTGCCACACGTTCAGATAGATATAAATCAAGTACTTAGTACGGATTCTTTGTTTGGAAGTACATTAAAATCATTACTTCTGTTGCTCCGCTATGTAACAAAATATGTTTTTTTTCATTCATGAAGATTAATGTTATTCTTCAAACTCTTTCGAACATTCTTTTACAGCAGGCATTTCGTTCCAGTATGTTTGCCTGGATAGATTGTACGCTATCGACCGGTTATTGGTTTTCGGGAATGGAGGGTCTCACTGACGCCATGTTTTCCTGCGAGAAACAGGGAAACACAAACAGACACTTAATGGTACACAATGTGATAAATCTCCTATAGGAACCCAAGTTGTCGACATCAAAATGTGACTCTCTTTTGTGTGAGCGGAAGCAGTGACTCCTCCGTTACTACAGACTGTGATGTGTCTCTGCACTACTTGTTGCGCATGTCTGGTGAGGACCACCACAGACATGTTCAACATCAAACACTGATACCTCTGTCCGAGTCTTGAAAAATGTTTCTTTTCATATTGTGAGCAGTGAATTGTAAAGGCAGTCCCATTCCCAAGTTATTGCAAATTCGTCCCGTCCTAAGAATGTTTTTGTATAGGGGATCTCAATGACATTTGCTCAGATTCCATCCCAGTAATTGTCCAAGGAGTCTCGTCCATTCTCATTAGCTTATATGGAAAAGGAAGAAATCATCAATTGCTAATGGCGTCTGTTGAAGTTGACGTGCGGTACAATACCCCTGTCTGCTCTTATCTCATAAATCTGGCCTTCTATTCCTCATAATCTTTGGGGAATGGGATATGCATCCCTCGACTGAGGTGATATATAACATATATATTCAACGATTATATACGTCCACAATGTTGTAAAATGTTTTACAAGATGTAATTCCAATATATATTCTGTGCAGAGTTATAGCGTAATAGATATTAAGCAGTTTCCTAAAGCAATGCTATAGTGTACTATATGTTACCAGCGATATACTGTGATAAAACTCAAGCAGGTTTCTCAGCGCATTACTATACTATTGAGGTATCAGCGATATACTGTAATAAAACTTCAGCAGTTTTCCCAAAGCTCTGCTATAATATAAGTTACCAATTAGCAAAACCTCGAGGAACCAAACGGCGCATGAAAAACATGTTCACGCCTTATCTATCATTACAAGACAAGCATACTATGCCAGGATAACCGATTACAGTTTCATTAACATTCCTAATTCCTAAATTCTGGTTTACAAATGTGCAAAGACCTATTTCATTATATTATTGACACTGTACACTTTCACTCACGTTTAATGACAATATCTATTTAAATTGACACAATGAGATGTATTCATAGAATAGTATAAAATAAATGTGAAAGGGCATTTAATCCATACATTATTGCAGTACATGAAAGACATAACCTGTCTGTTCTATATAATCGACAATCTTGCCGCAAGCATCGCGGGCTCTAACCAGTAATGCACTTAAA